AGGTCCACGGGTTAGTGCCGTTCGGATGGATTCTGAGAAGTTTCTGTGTCACAACACCATGCTGTGTTCAAGTGTGCTGCAGTCTTCCTGCTTTCTGTACACGTGTGTGGTGGAGAGTTTGGAAATGAGAGGCTCCATCTCTTCGCCATGTAAATCCCTCTGCAGTTAGTGAGTGAATGGTTAGTTGGTGCTGAATGACTGGCAGATGTTTCGAGTCCAGCTGGGAATGGTGGCGCACACCTGTAATCCCAGCACTCGGGAGGCTGAGGCAGGAGGATCGCTGTGAGTTCAAGACCAGCCTGGGCTACATAGTGAGTTCCAGGGCAGTCTGAACTACATGGTGAGTGAGACCCTGTCTCCAAAAAAAAAAAAGTGTCGAGTCTGGTTGAGCCTGTTGGTATTTATTATGCACCTGATATATGCCATACCTGGCAGCACGCTGGTTCCTGTTTTTGTTAGGACATTATGATTTCACTCTCGAGTTGAATTCTTTGACGGCAGGAGTCAAGTTTTTATTTTTTGGATCCCCAAGTGCTCACTGAATATCCCCAAAATAAGTGTCACTGAATGAGTCCATGGAACATTAGAGCCAAAAAAAAAAAAACATAAAAAACAAAAAACCATTCTCCTAGAGAGACTCCTTCTCAGGGAGGGAGGAGGACAGAGCTCTGTCAGGGTGGAAATTAATGGTGCTTTTATTCAGGTTAACTCAGGATGAGCTGAGTGAGCCTCAGTGTCTTCCCCTGCTAAATGTGAATGTGGATACATCCCGAGTGTGTGCGTGGATGAGCTGAGACATTCGTATGAACAACACGTGCTTAGCACAGATCACAAAACCAGGGCAGAGGGTCGAGATAGTCCTCAGGCAGGTACCCCGGCGGAGGTGGGGGTAGGGAGCATATGCAGCCCCTCTGACTCTGTCTCCCCGCTGTCCCTAGGTGCCATGCTACTCCTATGGGCAGAAGCTGTCCAAACTGGCCATCCTGAGGATCGCCTGTAACTACATCCTGTCCCTGGCACGGCTGGCTGACCTCGACTATAGCGCCGACCACAGCAACCTCAGCTTCTCCGAGTGTGTGCAGCGCTGCACCCGCACCCTGCAGGCCGAGGGACGCGCCAAGAAGCGCAAGGTACGCCCCAGCGCTTGGGCAGCCGCCTCTAGGACTACATGGACAGGAGGGACAGGTCCAGAGACACGCCACACATACCCAGGACCGTCACAGAGCCAGAGAGATCAATTTTCTGGGAGTCCTTCGGGTCCTGGGTGGGACACCGCCCCAGTAATGGAGCTTGCGACAGTCACCCAATGTCTGTGAGGCTGGCTTTGCTCATCACTTAGAGGAGGAGAATTTTCTTTTTTTATCCCAGAAGCCCTTTCTGATCTCCTGTGTTCTCGTGCTGAGTTCCCCATGTGGCCCCTGATGGATGTCACATCAGTGTGAGACTCCCCTGAGCAGGGTGACAGCAAAGGAGGAGCCTTAGCAGCTCCTGGGGAGGGGATTAGGCCTGTAAGGCTGTGCATTAATTTGCATGTTAGTCATTGATTTATTCACGGATTCCTTCATTCATTCCAGAGAGATTTACTGAGCCCGACTGTCAGCTGAGCAAGCTGGGCAGGGGCATAAAGATGACAGCTGCATTGCCCTGGTCCCCATGCAGCCCACAGGATGATCAGAAAGACCCTCCCACAAATGGACAAGGGCCTGACAGTGTGGCCTGCCCTGAGGACAGGGAAAGACAGGTAGAGGAGGGAGAGAACTCCCAAGGGAGTTCCAGAGGCCATTTTAGTGGGAAGTGGTGGGACAAGCAGAACAACCAGGAGGCCACCAGGCAGACAAAGCAGGGAACAGCATTCGAGGCAGAGGGAACATCCTCTATAAAGCCTGGTGTGTTTGGGGAAATCATTGCGGAGGATGGACGGGGCTGCACACAATCATCGTTTGTTAGATGACGATGTGTTGGGCATTTCCTGTCGGGTCAGTGCTGAGCAAAGATGATGGCAGTTGTTTGGGTCTCTTGTCCCAGGTGGCTGGAGGGAGAAAGGCCTAGAGCGGGTCCCGTGTGTGTCTGCAAGATGTCCATCCAGTCCTTCCTAGCCGGCCCCTCCCCCAGGCCCTTCGGTGGGTCCTCAGGCTTCTGGGCCCCCAGCCGGCCTCGGCCTGAATGGACTCCAGGCCCCTTCCAGCCTGGCCACCGCCTCTGCGGTAATTGCAGGCTGCATTCCTGAGGGTGATTTCACGTGGACCAATTAGAAGAAATCCTCATGGAGTGGGTGAGAGGAAGCTCTGGGCAGCTTTCCTTGGGAGAGTGACACGGTAAATGAAGGGCCAGATTGATGGCTCCCTGCTGTGCTCCATGACAAAGGAGGTTTGTAAACTCTCTGTGAACTCCTTGGCCTTCAGCAGCTGCCCCTCCTTGGGAGGTGTGGGCCAGCGGGCGGCGTGGGCAGGCATAGTGTGGCCCCACTCCTGTTGCCCCCTCTCCACCCACCAGAGGTTGCATGAGCCACCCCTCCCTCTGCAGGTGGCTGGATTGGAGCTGACAGCTCCCTGGACAGAGGGGAGGCTGGGTGCCAGGCCCACTAACTGGGAGGTGAGGGAGGAAGTGAGGATGCCCTGCAGAGCTGTGAACTGGCTTCCTCTGAAACCATCTCCAATCTAAGGAACCTTAGAGATGCCGTGTTGTACAGATGGGGAGAGGAGACGGCAGGTTGTGGTTAAGGACCTCCCGAGAGCACGGGTGAGCAGGTGTCTGGCAGGAAGGGGATGCCCAGGGCGCCCTTTCCCCCTGCTGCCTCCTGCCTTGAGGGTAGTGACCCCAGACGCTTGCATCCTGAACTTGAACTGCCTTCCAGGGGGCTCTGGGGTGGAGATGAGAATCCAGGCGGAAATGTGTCTCTTCCCCTTGAGTCCACCCTGCCCCTTGTCTTCCTACCCGGCCCCTGCCCACCACGCCTGGTTTGGGGACCGGAGATGGACCGGGTCTGGGTGTCTTTCCTGTCTCCTGGCAGGAGTCTGTGAGGTCACCTAGTGGGGACTGTGGGAGGCGGGGTCCATCTGTCTTTGCCCTAAGGGCCCCCCTGCTCTCATAGACTTAAATCATATCCACAGTGACACGTTTCCCCTGTGAAAAAGCTCAGGATGCCCCGATGACCCCGTCACTCCCCTCAGGAACCATTGTGTGTCATTCGAACCTCCCGGGTCCTCTGCCCCTTTGGGGAGCTCTATGTGGACAAGCAATTCCTTCTCAGCAGTCAGATTCTTTCCCATGTCTATGTCTGGTGTGTCATTGTGTGTCATTCGAACCTCCCGGGTCCTCTGCCCCTTTGGGGAGCTCTATGTGGACAAGCAATTCCTTCTCAGCAGTCAGATTCTTTCCCATGTCTATGTCTGGTGTCCCCTGGAGCCCTTGGGCTCTCGGGCGCCCCTTTCGGGCCCCTGTCACCTACCTTCTGGGTTCCTGAATCCTTAATTGCTGTTTGTCATTCTCCCTCTCTCCCGCCCTTGTCTGTTGCAGCCTGGCTTAACTACCCCCCTAGACCCTTCATTGAGACTTGTAGCACCAAAGTGAAGCCAGGCAGGGGTGGAAGGAACGTCAGATGTTCTGCCTGGGAGTTGGCTCTTCTGGGCTCTGGGGCTGAGCAGCTGAGGAGCCCCCAGAAAGAGGTTCCTTGCCTGCTGGGGCTGGGGCACCTGCCCATCCCTTCTTCCCAGGGCTTTTGGATGGCCACAGCGGGGGACGCTCTTTAGATACCTTGTGGCTGTTGAGTTGCAGCCCAAACCTCTTGGATCTTTTTGCCTCCCTTTGTGGCCTCCCATCTGGGCCCTGAGGCCCACCTCTGTTTACCAACCCCAGAAACATTTCCTCGTGACTGTCAGTAGCGCCTGTGTGGTGATGGGGAGAGGTGACCCAGGTCTTGCTCTGCCTGTGGGACTCAGCTCTGCCGGGCCACAGCCTGGCCCAGGTAGGGCTCAGCGAGAGATGTGGGGAGGGTTTAAAGGTGTCCTCAGCACACAGTCCTTCCCTTGCCTCCCCTTCCTTAATTCTCTTCCTTCCCCCTCCTTCCCTCCCTTCTTCCCTCCTCGCTGGGACAGCTGTAAAGTGCCCTATTTGTGCTTGATGCAGTGTAGGTACAAAGCAGTTTACCCGATAGTCCCGGCCACCCATGGGCAACTACACACCCTTTGGTCTAGACCAGAGTATCTGGAACCAAAAGTGGCCAGGGTGAGGAAAAAGAGAATGAGGAAAAGGAGTCCAACTGAAGAATTCCTGCTCCTCCGTGAGGAAGCTGTGGATGGGCTGGGGTCTAGGTGGGTGGCAGGTGGCCCAGTGCCCAGCTAGGGCCCGGGGGGCTGGGAGAGGCTGAGCCCCTGAACCTTCCCTCCAGAGCCTGCTCTGCCTGGAGGAGCACAGGCTCTCTGCACTGTCACCTGCCCCTGTCATCGGCACCACCTTTGAGAAGGCCCTGGGACAGGGTGTTTGGGCCCAGTGTGGCTCTGAGTGACATTGAGACAGCAAATGTGCCAGCCCAGGACTCTTCCTTTTACAAAGCCAGTTCCGCCAGTGCAGGGACTGGCCTGATGACCTCACTAATCCTACTAACCTCTGACACCTTGCACATGTTTATTGGGGGATTAAGTTTCCAATCCACGAACTGGGGGTGCATTCAAACCATAGCGCCCCCCAACAGCTCAGCTGCATTTAACTGGGGCCTGAGAGTTTAATCAAAGCAGTAGCCTGGCCACAGGGACAGGCCACCAGGCTGAGCTGCAGAAGGCTGGGGAAAAGATTGGGGCTGTCGGGCTGTGGACAGATGTCCACTCTGGCCACTGTGATGCTGGTGGTTGTCTCCAGGGTGACCGATGGCAGACTGAGTGTCCCACACAGGACTGCTGCCTCGGAGAGGCTGGGCCACCCTCCTTCAGGACCCCTCCTGAAGAGGCTGAGCTCAGTGTCTGGGGGGCTGGCCTGTCCCTCCAGGTCTGAGTTGAGAACAGGACTGAGTGTGCCTTGGTTCTCTCCCCAGGCCCCAGCTACACCCTTCTGCCCATCTCAGCCTTCCTGGCAAGGTGGGAGACCCACATCCTTGAGCGGGGAGTCCTCCCTCTCTGGACTCACAGGACAGTGAGTTTGGAAGCCCCGACATGGCAGAGAGGCCCACATCTCAGGTCACCCGCAGAGGGCAGAGAGATGGAAGGAGCGAAAGGCTCCGGAGATAAAGCAGTTAAGCACCTGGCAGTGGGCCACGTTTCAACTGCTCCTGTTTTTAAAGCAGCAGCTCTCGGGAGCTGAGGACAAGGGAGGTGGGGAGGGAAGAGGAGGAGAAGGAGAGGGAGAAGGAGGTGGCGAAAAGAAGAGACGGTGGAGGAGGGGCAAACCTGTACTTCCACACCTGGGCTAGAAGGGCCCCGCCAGACCTGTGGCATAGGAGAGGACCAGTGTCCTGCAGTCTAGGGGACCCCCTTGCAGTGGTTTTTAGCCATTAGCTACTACTAAAATTGGTGCTGTCCTTAGAGCCTTGCCTGTAATGGCCATGACATCCCTGCCCTGAGTTGCTTGCAGGTCCCGGGGTTGAGGACAGGACACATTGCAATGTACCAAGGTGAGGCCTGAACCTGGGGCCTGAACGGCGAGTGGGGCCACAGCAAGGTGATGTTGAGTGGGTACAGCTCTGTGACATCTGTGTTTTCCCTCTGTTTCCTGCTGCTTCCTGGAGAGAGGATGCTTTCTGTGGAGATGGCAGGTACAAGGTTGCTGACCCTCTGTGAGACTGTCTTGGGTGCAGACTCCCGTTGCTTCAGGACTGGGACAGGCTGAGGTGATGAACTGGTTCTGGGTGGATGGGGGTTGGTATGGGTCGACAGTGCCCGAGGGGCCCTTTGCCATGTGGACAGCTGAGCCTGGACAGCAGTCAGGAGCACCTTCCCTTTTTCTTGTCTCCAGAGCCCCTGGTGCATGAAGCAGAGGCACCATCCTGTCTTTGACCCCACCTGCCATGCACACAGTTGCTGCTGCTAGGGCCTGGACCTCTATAGGGCTAGGGGTCTCCCCTTGGCCCCTCTCTCTGATTTAGCGACCGGCTCCTGTGCTGTGTCACTTCTGTCCACAGAGGTCATTTCACACGATGTGA